ACGCTACTATGCCTTTATAAGTTGAGACTAAATAATGTTTGCGAGGACGCTGCACAATTAGGAGTGGGACTATGTAGAATGAATAAATAAACTTTGTGGTAAGTTACTAGTTGATTATTGATAATCTTGAAAATTAGACTGATGATTAGGCAGTTTAGCTGGTAATAGTAGGTTGTTAGTAGAATAAATGGTTTAGAATTCAAAGGATCATAACCTTTGGAATCTGCTGGCCGATGGATCATCTTTTTGGTAGGATAAATAAGTTGAGAAAAGAGAGATCGAGAGCCAAACTGAGAGTCGTAAGCCGGGGTAAGCTTGGTGCTACCTCTTTGTTTTCTTTATTATTTTCTTATGAAGAATGGTGATTGAGAGAAGTATTGTTGAATTGATAATCATAGAATGGATTATGGATTGAATTAAGATGGAAGTAGTAAGCCTCAGTATTTTGTAGTTTGATACTTGATTTCAGATAGCTAGAATACAGTCAATTGTGATAGTAACAGATCCAATTCATATAACCAGTCTTTTCATGTGTTCGAACCGACCTCTATTAGTTCAATTGCTTTGGTCTACTAAAGCTTGAACGCAATGAGAACAACAGTTATCAATAATAAATCTAAAACATTATCTTTCAATTCATATCAAAATTGATTGATAAAGATTTTGTTATTCTAATTTATATTATAAGTAAGGTTTTTGAATTTTTTAGCATATATGATGGTTGAATGTGATCTTTATTATAAAGATATGAATTTGATCTCTATTACCTTTTTTTTAATCATTTTCTCTAAAAGTATCCATAAAGACTTCTAAGAATGAATTAAAATCATAAAAGAATTATGAATTATTTCTATCAAAGGTGCAAACCAAAAGAAAATACTCTTAGATAGAAGTGCACCTACAATTCAAACTTGAATAAATCCATTAGGATATTATAAAAGATGCAACCTTAGAAAGAACTTTATTTATTGTAGAAATCCTCAAAACTTTAATCATGTTCCATCAAACTTTTCTAACATATTTATCTTTATTTTCCTCATACTTATGAAAACAATGCTTTTTTCATTCAATTGTGAATTCAATCTACTTTTTTCTCCCAATTGCACAACTTCTTGGCATAGAATTTGAATTTCCTTGTTGTTTTCATCTGCAAGTGTAGAAATAGTATTTCAATGATTTATATTAGAAATAAATGAGATTTTGATCCTAAAAGTCTTCATAAGCTTGTGAAGATCTACAATAGTTGTAAACTTATTCTCACTTCTATCATAAGTAGCATCCATAATTTTTTCTTCTATAGATGACTCAAATAAATTTATAAGATAAATTCGAGGAATATAATCCATAATCTCTAATACCAAATGAAAATTTCTATAGAGACAGATAATCTATTTTCTTTAGAAAAAATCAATGTTTAAAAACTAAAAATTAGTTTAAATATGGATAGTTTGTAACCTACAAAATATAATTCTAGAAGTAGAATAATCCTTTCACTTCTAAAATAAAATAAAAATAAAAAATCAAATGTCTTGACAAATTTCCAAGGACATAAATCTTAGAGAATTAAAAAATCAATACCTTCTTTTAACACTCAAAAAGATTAAATAAACATTCAAAGTTGGTATAATATTAAATTAGAATGGTTATTACTAAAGAGAAGAAGATTAAAATTTTATTAATAACAATGAAAAGGGCTTTATTCTTGCCTCTATATACATTATATAACTAAAAAGTATGTGGCAACATTCTATAGAACTTCCAATACTTCTCTAATCTACAAGACACATATCTTAACTTGTAAGGCAAGTTTTTTATATGCACACCATATTTTTAGCTTACACCACAAGCAACCTACACATGCGACACATGACTAACTTGTTGGCTAAGTTTTTCATCTATCAATCAACTATAAATATGTATAAAATCAAATATGTGTCTATAAAGCTTCTAAGAAGCTTTGCTATAAGATAATATCAAATTTATCTATATTTACCTTCTATCTAGTACTTCTTATTTAGATAAATATGTATGTTTGTGACACTTATACTTGTAATAGCAAGACTTCTTAAATTCAATTATGAACTTGATCTACTTACTTCTCTTAGTTGCACAACTTTTTGGCATAGACTTTGAACTTTATTGTTGATTTTTTAATATGCATAGTAATAGTACTTCCATGGTTGATGTTAAAAATATGTAAAATTTCTTTTTTAAGAGTATTGGTAAGGTCATGAAGATCTATAAGACTTAAAAATCTATTCTCACTTTTGCAAAGAGTAGCATCTATAATTTTTCTTTTCATAGACAACTCAAACAAATCTATAAGTCAAATTAGAGGAGGATAATTTGTAGCTACAAAAAAATCTTATTTTTTTAATTTTTTAAATAAATATTAAAAAATTAAAATATTAATATAAAAATAAATAATCTATAATCTTTAAAGTATAAAAATAAAAGTGGAGTAATTCACTTACTTCTAAATCAAAAGAAGAAAATTTAATTAGCACTCTTATCAAAATTTTAAGGATATAAATTACAACAAATAAAACTTCAATACTCTCTTATGTTACTTGAAAAGGGTATATATTTATTCAAAATTAGTATAATATTTGAACTGAAATAGCTACAATCAAAGAAAAAAAGACTAGAGTCTCTTAAAACAAGATTAAAGATTATAAAAACTCTTTAAAATCTTTAAAGATTTTATAATTAAAGAAGTTAAGATTTTAAAATCTTGAAGATTTAATGTCTAAATTTGATGCAATTATATGATAATCAAAGAGAGTGAATTAATAATAGAAAGTTCTACAAGATAAGCTAAGTTTTGTATAAATTATAACTAAAGAATAAGCTTGTAATAATCCATGAGTTAAAAAGAGATAATTTTTAGGCATGGATTCTTAATTGAAGCCAATTTGTTACAAGTAATATATTTTCTTGTGTATAAATTGATTATAAAGAATAATTTTATATCTATCTAAAATAAATCTTTGTTCTTAATAGTGGTTTTTAATACTTGTAATTATTAAAATATTTTATATTATTTTTATTTTTTAAAGATAATATCTTATAATCAATGTAAAAAAAAATTAATCTAAAATATTTATTTATTTTTGAATATCTTACTTTTATAAATATTTTTTGTTTTAATTATTTTATTAATATAATAATATTTATTTATTTATTATGAACAATATCTTAGAATTAATGGCCATTAAGTATTTGATATTATAACAATAAAAACTTTTTATAAATTCAAGTATCATCTTTTATGATACTATACTAAAGATTAATATTTTGCTATTTCTACACATTACTCATAAAGTGTTTAAAGATGACTAACCATTGTCTTTTGTATCTTATATCATTGCACCTTATATATATATATATATATATATATATATATACATATAATTTAAATAAAATATTTTCATACTATTAATAATAAGCATAAGATATGTTGCCTTTTAAATCAATTTATAGATTAAAAAAAACTCTTTAAATATGTTATGACTTTTTTATGAATTTTTTAGTTTTTTTAAAAAAATTAGAATATTTTTCTAATATTAAATTTTATTTTAAAAATCCTTCTACATTAGTTACTTACCTTGGTGTTTATATTAATAATCTTTTTTTAGTTTTTAATAATTTATTATCAAATTAGTTAAAGAATTTATTTTTAAAATACATATATCATAAATAATAAAATAAAATATATTTACTTGATATTCAAATTTTATGGAATTATTCCAATTAAAAAAAATTATAAGAAAAATATATCTTGAATCTTTAAAAAAAAAAAAAAAAAAAAAAAAAAAAAAAAAAAAAAAAAAAAAATGAAATTTAAAAGAAACTAGACACTATAGTCTATATTTTTTCGAAGCTTATATAATCACATCTTCACCACAACTTTATAGATGGTGTGATGTGGATTATACAAGGTTGTTTTAATTTTAAAAATAAACTTTAAAGTATTTTTTTACTTTAATTCTTCTCTTTTAGGTTTTTACTTTTAAAAAATAGCATGTTGTGGCTCAATCAAATACCAAAGCAAAATGTATAACCATAGCCATAGTATTAAAACAATTCATGTGACTACAAAAATTATTAAAAGAACTTAGAGGTGGCATATCATTTCTAAACACAATCTATTAAAACAACTAATACTTTGTTACTATAAATAATAAAATTAAAATTTTATGATTAAATTTTTATTAATATAAGATATCACTATATTCATAAATAATAAAATGAAGGAAAATGAAGTTCCTATACAATATATTTTTATAAATTAAATTCTTTAATAGACAAAATTCATTATATATACATATATACACTTTATTTATTTTTACTTTTTTATTTCTTGTATATAAACAAGCATGACCATCCAAATATTCTACAAAAATATACATAAATATCAAAAAAAAATTAATTTCTGAATTTAAACAACTTTAAAAGGTTTCAAAGCTTTAGGAATGATACATTGTAAGATTTTATTGGTTTAATATTTACAAATTTTATTATATTAAATTTCATTTTTATATAGCCTTTTGGTCTTAATTTATTTATGATAAAATTTAATTCCTGAAATTCTTCAAAAAAATATGTAATTTAAACATACTAAACTACAGAATAACACTTTGTGACTGCTTTGACTAACTTAGTGAGAAAGCCACAAATTTTCCTATAAATATTCTTTTTCACAAGCAGTTTTTGCAACAAAAAGAATTTAAGAGTTTTGATTTTTTTCAAATGTCATTTTTCAATATATATATATATATATATATAAAGTATTTTTTACATATGTATGTAAATACAGTAGTTGTTTTAATAAGATAAGTAAAGTTTTTTGAACTTAAAATAATAAAAATTCAATTGGAAGGAGTGTGGGCTGGCAAGAATGAGAACACTCTCTAGAGATGTGGGTTTGTGCTAAGTTGATCTTGAACTACCAAGGAATATGGCGAGTAATTGACCCACATAAGTTGGTAATTTGAATCTTGACCTTGAACTTTTAAGCTTCTTTGACATGATGAAGTAAATAAATAGCACAAGTTTATGTATTAGTTCAAGCAAAAGAAACTTTCTGCACACTGAAATTGTATAACAATTGAAAGAAAATGAAAAAAAGTAGCATACCCTACGAAATTAAATCCTGTTCTCAGGCAAATCCTACGTGGTCCCTTCTCGGAAGTTAACCACCATTCAAAGTGAAGTTATTTTTTGCACTAACGGAGAACTCCTACTTCGCTAACAAGCCGCTTGGACGTCAGCATCACACTCTTGAAAGGCATTTCCTGCTTCGCTCATGGTCAGTATCCGCCCATTCTTTGAGGTGCAGGTGCAGATTTCTCGTAAGCCTCCCGGTTAGCCAACCAACCTGAACAAAGCGATAACAGCAAGATATCAGACCCTGACAAAGAGTTCATTTCAGGTTCCAAGCTTGAAGATCAACAGAAACATAGCATTGAATTCCAATGTACTTTGGTCGAGTTCCTGTTTTTTTAAAACATATATATGCTTGTTGCAATCAAGTATCCACACGATCAAGCTTAAACCTCACGGATATGAGTTGAAGAGGTGTGCTTCGGCTTGTTACCAAGGGAAGGGTTGATGCCACGAGACTGAAGCTCACGATGTTGTTGGGACAATGAGCAGGAGAGACACCAGCAATCCACACAGCAGTCACCGCAAGGCTCCGGAACGAGCCCATACTTGGCTCTCAGACGTGCACGGTACCCGCACGTGTACAGGCATCCCAACCCTGTAAACGTCTGGAGGCAGTAGAAAATGCAGCCGGCGCCAATGCATGCTGCAACTCATTCCACGCCTCTGAAGGTAAATTCACACGAGTAACCGAAATCCAGCCACATCAACAGAGCAGGCAACAAGACAGAGGACGATGTTGCGGGCACACTCACATGTCATGCCTTGATCAATAATCTCTGCCAAGCGTCCCACCACCACGCAAGGGCAACAGAATGAACAGCAGACTGCCATGCACCAACACCCAAGAAAATAAGCTCTTAACCTCAACTTTGGGAAGCATTCGCAATTGCCAGAATTCGGTTGTGCGACAAGCTTTGCAACATATGCAGGAATCTTACAGCACAGGGTGTGGCTGGTGGACATTGCAAAACCAGCTTACATGATCCGCAGTCTTGGAAGCAATCACATAGACCGCTATTCCATTGAGCGGTTGCAGTCTGGGTATACGCCATTTCTTCTAACTTAGCCTTTCAGCAGCGTCGATACGTTAGCAAGAACACACACGAGAAGTCTCTTAGATCGAACAATGCTTGTGGAAGACGAACCACACGAATCCAACCTGGAAGCTCAGTGCAGATGGGGAGGCCTGTTGTAAGTGGGCAGTGAAGTGGGACAGCACTGGTATCACTTCCTTAAAACCAGACCGACGGGTGCGCTCCACTACCACCCGCTTCCTTCGCGGACCCAGCTGGTGACCTCGGTAATCTTCCACCCCCCTAATTGACTTCCTGCATACTAAACTAGACGCGGCTAGTAATACACCCACATAGTTGTCGAAGTGAAGTAACTCCCCATGGACTGATCCTTCTACCAAGACCTGTTGATACCGATTTCCGATTTCGCAGAGCAGGTACCAGCTGGCAGTCTGTACTCTTTAAATCATCCGTCCGTCATCCATGTGTGCCTGCAGAAATCATATTATAAAATGTTCTGATGTGAAGAGCTCACAAAATCGAGGCAGCTACCCGACATCTGTGTCTGTAGACACGCATGGACGCATACATCCATGTAAGCTGGTTTTGGAATGTCTACATGGATGACGGAGGTATGATTTAAAAAATGCGAGCTTACCTATTCTGCGAAATGGCACGGGGGCTACAATTCGGGCATTGTACATCGCTAGCTTCACAATACCGACAGCGGCAGTGCGTACGAACAGGGATACTGTTCATGCATCCAACCAGAAAGTTCACTTGTCTTCTTTTTATCCATCTTCCCACTCAGCAGTCGGGGTTGCTGCCAGTCCACACGGTGAGAGCGAGACCAGGTTTTAGTCTTTTTGTGGTTGACAAATGGTGTTGGTGGCAGAATGGCGATTACGCTGCTTGGTAAGTCGTTGCTGAACTGTACTGCAATGCCCGCTAGCAACGCGGCCATAGCTTGTGATCGGGATGGAGCCTCGCCAACATGCACCTGCAACTTCGACCTCTGGCAACAGCGGCAGCACCATCTTTCCTTTCCACTTCCTTTTCTTCAACATTCATCGGCATATCTAAACACGAATATATATACATTCATCTGTGTATATAAGCCTGTATGTCTAGATATTTACATGAGTTATTAGGATTGAGTTGTGCAATTAGTAAGTCTGAATGTAAGTAAACCGTGTTCACTGTAGTTGGTGTTGTACTACAAGCACAGCAAGAGTGGATGTGTTACTGTATGTGTTGTACCTTTTAAGACATGTGGTATTTTGTAGTATATTGTATGTTGATTTGCTACATGATGAGATTTGTGTGTATATATATATATATATATATATATTATTTTATATAATATTTAATATATATAGTATATTGAGTTCTATTAGTGTTATGATTGGTTTGATAGGATATCTACTGAGTTTGTATCTAGGAATATCCAAAATTCCATGATCAAGTTGTAATGTGTAATTTAAGTTATCAAAGGTGTAATAGTTGATTTCTACAACCATATGATTACTGGGCTGTTTTTTAGCAAGGTTTTTACATTGTGTTCATGTAGTTTTCGGTGGCAAGCATTGTGACCTATTGTGGAAACCTTATCATTTGATATATTATATACATATCTCTTTGGGATTGTTGGCATTCCTTGAGCAGTGAGCAACATGAAAGCACCTTGAACATCATAAACATTGCAGAAATACTCATGAGAGGCACAGTGCTGCAACTGCTGCCAGTGACTTCAAAACGTTAAGAAAATTCAGAGTATCTTAAAAGCATGCAATCAAGAACTTTTCGACAAGATAATATGAAAAAAATAAATAATAAAAAATAAAATAAATGACATATAAAACAAAGTTGTAAAAAATCGGTGTGTACAACAAAGTTGTAACCTGTAATTACAATTTAAAACATGCAGTCAGAAATAGCCCACCTTATGTCATGAAGTTGGGCTAGGTGGGTACTTCTGGGATTCAACGCACGTGCGTTGTGGATGATTGAAATTTTTAAAATGAATACAAACCTGGTAAAATGACTGGCATTATGCAAACCACATGACATAAAACCTCGTGGAATAACTTAATCTCCGTACAGGACAGTTGGAAACTTCTTCTACTGTAAATAAAAGGAGCGACTATGCCATTACTATAATGTAGTCAATGTGCTTGGCTAGGTCCTACTTATTGAAATCTCCACGGTACTGTTCAGCTGATATATGCTGCTGTTCAGTTTTTAATACAATAAAAACAACTCGAGATCTTGTTGCCGACAAAACAAACCTCTGTTGAAACAAGGGGAGGGAGAAAGGATTGATTAGTAATATATTTGACTTCACACATTGATAAAATTAGGCAACTACATGATTGTACCAAAAATAGTAATTATTATTTATCTAAAGAATTCAACTTGTTCAACTTACTTCGTGAGCGGCAACAACACTTGCAGTTCATGCTCGGCCACACAACAGGATGTATACCTACCGATTGTAGACACCTTCCCCTCCACTCCTACAAGATTTCCCACCCACTGAATTTTTTTTACTTGCCTTTTCGTCAATGGAACATTCTTTTTTGTGAGCCTCCTTCCTCGAACGCACCATCTGCTCGCTTCTGCCCAATACTCTTCTTCTAAGTAGACTTCCCGGTCTCTTCTACATTGAGAGCTCTTTCTGTCTTGCAAACACAAAAAAAAAAATCATTAATTAATAATAATAATAATAATAACTCTTATAAAGCATCAGGTAATAGTACTAAGCGCTTTTAACATTTACTTTTAGAAAAATTCACATGGAACTGTTCTTCTCCATGACTGATTCCTCGTTGAGAAAAGATCATAACAGCAACATTATCGGTGAATGAAAGCATCTGAGATTCAGCGAAACAATCACCTTATCCTCGAGCTAATTATTTGATATTTCACCTTATCACATCAAGGTATCTGAAGTCTTTTTCCACCAATACTTTCTATATCACACTGGTAATTAGACCCTTTGTTTTGCCTTCTCCATCAACCACTGGCAAAAACTACACTCACACAATCAATCATAAACTTATCGCACACTCGTGTGGCCCATAATATACGAACCACATCTGTTAGAAGTTGGTAGTGACGTGAGATTTATGCTCCTATCAAAGAACAATCACCAAATTGTAATGTCTTGATTACCAAATCTTAAATGAAAATGATGGTCTTTTAAGATATATAGTGACTTGCGGTGCTTGCCCAATTTTCTTGCAACCTTCCTCCCCGGGAACTCCTTACTAAACTTTGTCTATGCTAGCGGTAGCTGTGCTCGCATGATCACTCTTGGAAATAATTTTGGGCAGGTTATACACTACCCACTGTAGCTAACGAAGTAGCCCACCAACTACAGCGCACTTCAATATAGAAAGAAATTTATGCCTTTTACACAGTAGACCACTAAACAAAATTACATCAAAATGCAAAGATGGGAGATTAATTCTCACGATGAAAAGTAGCTGCCCAAATCGATAACACTTTATTAGTATTATTGTGAAACGTCGTAAAACCGTTATGATACGTTATATAATGCCTCACACTTAGATGGAAGTCCCGCAGCAAACGTCAAGTGCTGCACTAAATATTTTCAGTACAGACCTAACCCAAGACTACATGATGTGAATGAGAGAAAATAAACTCCTGGAAAGTGCACCCTTGTCACCGTGTTTGGCAGTCTATGTTTACGTTTAGGGTTTTGGATAGATTTTCCTCTGCTTTGTAACTTCCTTTCTAACTTACACATGATCTCAAGGATGGATCTTTCCCGGATTCTGCAGAGAGTAAAGCCAAAAATCAAGTACACTTCGTATTTTGGTAAGCATACAGTCATGCAGGAAACGGCGATCACTACTGTCCGGCATGTTCTACCTCATTGAAAGCAAAGATCTAGTCGTTCTGCCAATGATTATGAAGTGGACATAAACAAGGTACATCACATTTAATTGAGAGTCTGGGCATTGTGTGCATTCACAAAAATACTACATAGCCCTCATGTAAAGCCTCTGAAAGCTACGGATAATTTCAAGCAGGTGTACTTCCAACACAGTCCAGCATCACAGAACAGAATGATGGGATTGGGTATCGTCTCCTGCTTTTGCTTCAATAACAGGAACAACATTGTCGTTGTTACACGTTTGCATCCATGTTTTTGCCGCCAATCTTCTTTACCCTCGTCAAACTCTCTAACCTACTCGATTTGAAACCTAAGCATGACTATCCCCCAATTGCTGATCAGATCAAATACATCACATGCCACGCTGGTCTAACTCCGATTCGAACGACGTTTCGTGCAAGGAATAAAACAGACAAGACAGGTAAGATTCCACTGCACGTTATTCTCGAACGCAAGAAAAAGTCCGGCTCCATAGTAATACTGCAACGGAAGCTCTCTTTCAGTTGGCGCAAAAGGTTTCACAGTTAGTCATGGGTCTCGGAGACTAGATGGGAGCTCATTCTAGCACTCCCGTCCACACTCCACACACTTTCCAAAGCACCAGCAGCACAACAGAAACCCACGAAAACGCCTGCAATGACGAGCGACGCTCACACAGCGAGCCCGTGGCATTGGAATCCACTTCCGGACCGTGTTGATTCCAAGACTTGCAGGTTGATGCCAAGTCTTGAAATCAACATTGCAACGTCTGGTTCTTGTTACTCTCTTTTTCTCTTGAAGGTCAATTCCATTTCCACTTTTCAAGACTAAATATTAGCACAAAAAAATACACATTCAAATGCAAAACATTGGAGGTTAGCAACTTTTCTACCTCATGCCATTTACCAAGTTGCAGCTGTATACCAATATCAAACACTAGGCAAGTAGGCAAGCAAAGAAATAAAATGGAAATGAAATAACGTAAAGTGCATCCAAACTTGCTACTCAGCCATCACACAATTTTTACAAACTCGTCTCTTAACAAATAAAACTCTTTTAAAAAGTTTTAGTTAGAATTTACATTTTGTGTAAGTGTTTCTTTTGCCAAGTGATTAAAGAATGGACCATCCTAAATTCTAATACAGCATACAAGCTGAAGAAGAACCTAATTGACCAATCGAAACCATGTTTAAACCTTTCAATCACAAGGCTTATCCGTCCTATCAATAAAGCTCGGCTAAAAATCATCTACTTTACATAACTACGAATTACCGAAAAAAAACCGTTGAAGCATGTGAGGAAAGAAAACTCTCAAACTCGCATGCAATCCTTCATTGCAGAGGGTGGTTTCGCTACATATTTGCAGCTTCATCGCTGTATCCTGCTGCTCGTCCAGTTCGTCCTTCCACAACTTCATAACTGGCAGCAATAGCTGAATCAGTGATGGAGGTGTCCTGTGCGGCTTCAGAATCATGCATCTCCAATCCTTGATAGCTGCGGAGAGCCAAATACTCTGAGCTCGACGTTGCTCCAGTGCTTGTACGCCCAGAACTAGCAACAGCCAAAGAAGATACTGGAGGACGCAATTGTAGAGCACGTCCAGAAACTTCTGATAGAACTGATTCTCTGTTTTCATCATCATCTGCACATACATAAAAGTGTTGTCAACCTTTGCACTTAGAATGTCCAATACCCTACTTCTTTAAGACAAAGCCGTCACATGAGATGTCTACTTTAGTTATGATACTACACAGTTTTCTTTTTTATTTTTTTACAAAAAGAAAATAATCGAATGGCATATGGTTGTGGTTAGTACACTCGACCATTATATAACAAAACTAAGCTTTTTAAAGCAGGACCGAATGTACAAAGTCACGATCAACGAACCCGAAGGAAAGGTTCGAGCTTCAGCTTCATTGTACGATGGTTCTTCCCCAGGTTTCGGTAGCGACCCCAATTCCAGACTGAAGGCCCCAGTCCACTCTTTGCCTTCAACAAACGCCAATTCTGCTTCGAAGGGTGTGATAAGAGGAGCGAGGTACTCTTTGCTATCTAGAAGTATTGTTTGGGCACATGCCACAAGTACAAATACATCACACTCGGGAAAATTTGCAAGTTTCGCTGGATTGGGCCTGCCCATAAGCATCGTATATGATTTTTTACCTGCAATACATATCACTCATTCAGAACAGAATCCCAAATTCTAAACAAAGTCCGGTGGCAATCAATTTTACCTCCAAAAATTATGAACGTTTTAGGAGTTAGGGTTTGATCAAGTACATAATTCACGAATCGCTTAATTAGCTCGTATTGAAACACAAAAAGTACACGTGATACACAACGAATGACTGCCAAATTCACATACACACAATCCAAAGATTAAGAATATGGCCGACCTGCTGCAGCAACTATCTCTCGTACACGCCGAATTGATTCGTTGTATCCGGCAACACCCAAAGTGCCGACTACAATCCCAACGATGCTCGCTTCTTTTGCACGTTCAACAAGAGCAAACCTTCGCATTAGATCTCTGCTCTTGCTCGGTAAGTCTTTCACCAAAACATCATTGTCTGCATTATACCTGACGAGAACGAACATGCACGAATTAGCATCGCCCTGAACCCTTCATCTCAAATTAGGGCACAGTTCAAATATCGAGATGCCATTCAAAACTGAAGTACCCCATTCTGAAACTCCATGAAGTACCTCATTATATTATTCTTGTTATAAGTTAGTAATAAATTCGTGAGTGCTGCCCCTTCATCCCCGATCCAAAGAATCGCAACATCCTCCATCGTCGTACCCTTCGGTACATACCATTTCAGACCTCCTATAATCTCAGCCAATTGTGCAGTCTTCGCCCTGTCTTGCTTCAAGTCCTGCTCTGAAGCAACTCGTGGGCTTTTCACACAAGCAGCGTTGGAATTCGAACGTGTCGAGCATGCGGAAGACACTTGACCACCATCGCACACTCGTGGAGTACAAGCCCCTTGCGAACAACCACCGGATCCATGAAGTCCAGAACACGAATCCGAATTTCGAACTGGCTCCATCTCATGTCTCGGGATCTCCGCAAACACAACTGTCCGGGCGCCGCCACCACCATCTCTACCGGCATCTACCTCTCTTCGAATGTCCTCCACTGCGTGTGCATATTGCAATCCAAACAAGACCACGACTGGTTGACCCTGGTTAGAATCAAAATTCATAATCGCTTGGCTACAACGATATGCATCGATCCGCCCTCGGCCGAAGACAAAGAATACAGGAAGGCGAGATGTCTGGCTAAGACACGTATGGCCGTAATGTATGACGCACTGCGCGTCCACATGAGCAGCGGCTACCTCGTCAACACAGCAGCTACCATATGTGGTATCCGCCATGACAAACAACTTCACGCCATGAGAAATATTTCTTTCGCTCAAAGCAGAGAGAAGCAACGACGTGACCTCAACACTGGCGTGCAGAAGCTCGTCAGGGAATTGCAAAGCAACACGAGTAAACCCACGATCCAGAATGTACCCCGCTGTCGCCACAATCTCATGCTGCTCCATGAAATCCATTCCTAAACCCTAAACCCACAAAATCAATTTGGTGACAACTCAAGGCCTACGGTTGTATCTATCTATCAATAAATATATATATATATATATATATATATATAAATATATGCAAACCTCCACCTTAGGAAACAAGCCCAAATCCTCAAAACCATCTACTAAACTACAGAACCTCAAAAGCAGCTGCAGCTTGATTACTGACTTTAAGAGCTCTGTGAGCACTTTGCTTTCGTTCACAATCCTGGGTTCCACACATCCATAAACCCTAAACCCTAAAAAGCTTCCAAATTACTGAACACCATCTGGGTAGCTGCTCATGAACACTGCTGATCAGGTGCTGGGTTGCACTATTTAATGCCATCGAAATGGATGGATGTTCCAACCGCTCTGGATGGTTTCTGAAAGTCCATCAACATCACGCTGGATAGATGTTTGTGTATGACAATATTTCTACCAAAAAAACAACTACAAAAAAAGTACACCATTTTATTTATGCAACAACAACGTGCCTGTTTGCTAGTTTTCTTTACATTTTTGGGGATTTTTCATCATCATGATTTACTAGTTTTAGATGATTTTGGATCATGTCTTCACAAGTTGTTATGAAATTGAAGTAAACAACTTCAATAAGGTCTGTGGCTTGTGAGTAAAGCAGGTTTTCTTTGGAATTTTGTACCCAATGTAGGAATTAGGGTTTTATTATCTATTACTGAAGAAACTCTCTGATTTTTCATTTACTGTTGTCTTAAAGTGGGATGATTGTGGGATGAACTCCAAATTATTGTGTTTTAGAACAATAATAATCAAAATATTTTATTAACTATTCTTCTTTGACTAAATATTAAGAATATCAAAAGTGGAACAATTAACCATGAAATCATGGATATATCTTCATGGTGTAGCAATGAAAAATATTGCTGTTAATTTGCAATAAAATTTACATATTGGTTTTTTTTTTTGAATTTATAATATTTTCTTTTATTGATATATTTTATTAATTTAAATACTAATATTTATAATGGATGGTAGTTTGAGCAAAATTGATATGGCAAAATAATCTATCACTAATATGGCAAGAGTTGCCACGAACTTATGTTGGACTAATTATTGGGCACCAAATGGATCATAAATGAATAGCAAGGGCTTTATGAAAATCAAAGCATGTATAAGCGCTTAGATCTAAATTTTGCAGACAATCCATTATGTGAATAATTAGTTGTAGTATTGGATAGCATCAACCAATGAAGCAATTTGCATCTCTCAAGGATCCAATTGCACCAATCCTTGTGAAGTTTAGAATAGAATAGAGCAAGATCGGTCACAACACAAAGAAGTAGGAATAGGTTCAATATCTCTTCAGTTGTATGAAAATACAAAAGATGCTTTGAAGATAGAAGCATCCATACACAAGTATTATACAAAAAAAAATCAAAGACTAGTATATACAAACTCAGAGGATTCAATAAAATTAACAAAAATAAAATAAAAAAATGTCATGGATATATCTATAATTATTTAGATAATATGAATAGAACAAAATAGATAAAAGTAAGTTAATTTGACAATATCTTATAGAAAAGCTTCATAGATGTAATACACCTTTATACATGTGATTGGTAGCTTAGAAACTTGGCCAACAAATTAGCCATGTATTTGTTAGGGACATAGTCCTTAGAACCTTCTAAAGACAAGTTTCTAGAACCTTCTAGAAGCAAGTCTCTGGAACCTTCTAGAAGCTTCTTAGTTAATAGAAGTTGCTTGAGAAGCTTCCTAAATATGAGTATATATTGGAATCGATATTGAAGAGTTCTTCAGTCTCAATAACACATCTCTTGGAGCTCTAACTCACCTCTCTGGTGTTGTTCTTGTATTCATCTGATTAATCTAGTTCTTACCAATTCTTCTCGAACTTCTTGTTAGATCTCAAGTCTGTATTTCTGTGTCCGTGACAGTTTGTCGAGATTTCACTCACCTCACATATCAGAGCTAGTTTCTTCCTCGTTAGAGTGTGGATTACCCCTTTGTTTGGAAGTGTACTAGCATTTTAGAGGTTGCGGATTACCCTCCTCTAAACTGATACTTCTTTTGTTACAATATTGGAGTCTTATTCTTCTTGGAGAGAGTGGATTACCTCTTTTCTTGAAGCTCTTAAGGCATTTTAGAGGTTGCAGAGTACCCTCCTCTAAACCAATATTGTCTTCTTGTAGAGTCACTTCTGTCCTTTTCTTAGAATGGCCGGAGGCCAAGACATTAGTATGACAGAAAGTTCGGAGTCCAAGTTGGATGCTATCATGAACACCCTCGCTACGTTATCGCAAAGAACTACAGAGATTGAAGGAGTTGTGGCAAGGCTTCATAATGATGGAGCATCTGGGATGGCACAATCTAGGTTGTACCAGCCTCAAACTTCTGTACTTGGAGAAGCAACTTTGCCTCACGTTCGACAAGCACCGCTGGTTCTACAACATAAGGAGCCCCGAGTTAGCCTTCCGGATAAGTTCGATGGTACGCGTTCCAAGTTTCAAGGATTCGTCAATCAAATCAGGTTGATAGTAGTTTTATAGCCCGAACGCTATCCAACGGAGGAGTCACGTGTTGGGCTTGTTGGAACCTTACTTACAGGGCAAGCTCTATCATGGTTTGTTCCTTTGTTTGAGAAACAATCGTCCATACTAAACAACTTTGAAACCTTTTTGGAGGCGTTTGCGGAAGCATTTGGTAAACACGACAAGGTTCGATGGGCTACAACAAAGATCTAGTCACTACGACAAGGGATGCGCTCTACATCAGTCTATGCATGGAACTTCAGGCAATTAACATGCAACATCAATTAGGATGAAGAAGCGTTGATGAGTCAATTCTATTGGAATTTAAGGGATGATATGAAGGATTTGCTGTTAACTCTTCTTGATCCACAAACGCTCGACGAAGCTATTAGCCAAGCTGTGAAGTGCGATAATCACCTATTCCAATGCCGCCAAGATTAATGTTCAAGACAACATACGGTTCGCAATGCCCCAACTATGTCGGCAAGTAGCATGAATTCACATTCAGAGGTAGAAGACATGCAAATTGATGCGATACGTGTCAAATCCCTTACCCAAGAAGAAAAAAAGTGGCGTATGGAGGAGGGTCTATGCTTGTATTGCGGTGAAGAAGGCTACAAAGTTGGAAATTGCCCCAAGAAGCAAAATCGACATATTGTCAGGACTAGAGGTGCGTTTGTTCAGAAAAACGAGGATGCCCAACCACAATAGGAACTGTGCGGTTGGACAGTGAAATATCGCAACAACAACCAGGTTCCTTTCTTTCCACTCAACTTGCCCTTTGCTTTACAATCCCTTTACTTATTGGCCTTCAAAAACTGAGAACCTTAGCATTATTAGATTCAGGAGCATCTGCTTATTTCTTAGACGAAGAATTTGTGAAGCATCATAAGATTCTTTTAGTACAAAAATCCAAACCTGTTCACGTTGAGGTCATAGATGAGCGACCTTTATTGTTTGGTAGTGTCACCCATAAATCAAAACATATAGAAGTGACGTTTAAGGGCCATAGTAGTCATATTATTTTCAATATTATTAGAACCCCATCAAATCCTGTTATTCTTGATCTTACCTGGTTGAAAAAGCATAACCCATCCATAGATTGGAGGTTGCAGAAGATGACCTTTCTCACAAAATCACCCAAGAGCAAGCCTAGTAGAAAATCTCGAATAGAAAAATCCTTATTCATTGGAGTAAGAGCGTTTATAAGATCGTCCAAGGAAGGTACTCCATTTGTCATTTATGCGGCTCCAACTACCAGGGAGAAGATCTCGACAGCAAGAATACCTGAGCAATATAAGGATTTTAAAGATGTCTTTCAAAAGAAGAATGCCGACATGCTACCAGAACACCGACCATATGATTGCGCCATAGACTTGCAAGAAGGAGCACAACCGCCTTTTGGCCCAATCTACAGTCTATCGCAAATGGAATTTGCGGAGTTGCGGAAGTACATTGACAAGAATCTAGCCAAGAACTTCATCCATCATTCAAAATCGTTAGCTGGAGCACTCATCTTATTTGTGAAGAAAAAAGATGGCTCGTTGCAGATGTGCGTGGATTATCGAGGCCTCAACAAGGTAACAAAGAAGAATCGTTATCCATTACCCTTGATTTCTGGTCTCTTAGAACAACTTGGATGTACAAGGATCTTTACAAAAATTGATCTAAGGGGAGCTTACAACCTCGTACGAATCAAGGAAGGAGATGAGTAGAAGACAACATTTCGTACAAGGTATGGCCATTTTGAGTATAATGTCATGCCTTTTGGTCTTACCAATGCTTCAACAGTCTTTCAACATATGATGAATGATATTTTTCGAGAGCACCTTGACGATTTTGTTGTCATCTATTTAGATGATATTTTGATATTCTCCAAAAATGAGGAAGAGCATAAAAAGCATGTTCGTTTGGTCTTGGAGAAACTACACAAGCGAGGACTATATGCCAAGTTAGAGAAGTGTTTATTTCACCAAATAGAGATGGAGTTTTTGGGGTTCGTTACGACTACGGAAGGCTTGAAGATGGACCCCAAGAAGGTGGAAGCAATCGTCTCATGGGAGGTTCCAAAGATAGTTAGAGACCTACAATGCTTTCTTGGTTTTGTCAACTTCTATCAGATCTTCATCAATAATTACTGTCAATTTGTTGCTCTTCTCACTTATTTGACATGCAAGGATAAGCTGGAATGGGGACCTCTAGCAGAGAAGGTGTTTCAAGACCTGAAGACCGCATTTAATACGGCTCCAATCTTAGTACATCCAGACTTTACAAAGACCTTTTATTTAGAAACTGATGCTTGAGATTTTGCTTTGGAAGCTGTACTTTCACAAATAAGAGAAGACAAGAAGCTCCATCCGGTTGCATTCTATTCTCAAAAGTTCTCTGCTATTGAAATCAATTATGAGATCCACAATAAAAAACTTCTTACTATAGTAGATTCTTTCCAAGAATGGCGTCACTTTTTTGAAGGAGCTACACATCCAGTGACCGTATATACAGATCACAAGAATTTGGAGTATTTCATGTCGGCTCGAGTTCTAAATCAACATCAAGCTTGGTGGAGTATGTCGCTATCTAGGTTCGATTTTGTTATCACTTATCGACCTAGAAAGCAGCAAGGACTATCTGATGCCTTATCGAGGAGATCGTATTTTGTACCAAAGGTTGGAGAAGCAGCATTTAATCAATAATGTACAACATTGTTGAAGCTAGAGCAATTTTGGCTTTGCGCTACTATTGTGCCAATTGATGTTGACTTCTTGAATCATGT